AAATCGTATTTGAAATAAATCGTTATAAAAAAAATTGTAAAAATAATAAAACTATAATAAAAGTATATTGAAAAGTTTATAAATGAATTTAAACTAAGTAAAAGGAATAAGCACAATATGTTTGAATAATCTCAGAATTTTGCTAAAGATATTAATTCGAACAGACAAGATAATTATAAAAAGTGCTATCAAAGTGATATAAGCACCTCCAAAGATAAGAAAAAGGCTATTAAATGGAGATTAGAATCTGCAAAAGAGCTCCAAAATTTAATTGAAATAAACAGTGCTATAATTGAAACAAAAATAATTATATTAGAACCTAAAAATAATAAGAAGCTGTGGTTAGAAATACTAGTTAGAAAAACAATCATAATTGAGACCAAAGTATATAGAACCTTCAGATGCCTACTTTTGCAACAACCAACAAGATATATATTTGATCCTGGAGGAACAATTTTGTTAGAAAATTAAGATGTGTTATCTATTTTACTAATTCTAGTATTTCATTAGAAAAATCTTTAAGACACATATATAGCCTAGTACTAGCAAGTTTAATAAGTACTGTGCAAGAAATTTGAACTATTTAAATAGAGTATATCTCTTCATATAACTATACTTATTCTTACAACAATCAATTGGGTCAAATGACTTTCAAGATATTGTTTAAGAAAATTTTGCATTAGCGAAAAGCACTTTATATCCTTTTAAATCTGATGTTAAAGAAAATTCAAGCTAGGTTATTAGTGTCCTAGTATATAGGTTATAATAGAAATGAAGAAAATCTCTACAAATAACTCAAGAGCAACTTGAAATTTAGCAAGCACAATCCTTAGATAATAACCAAAATGATGAAAACAAGAGAAAAGATAACAAATCAATTTGGACATACACAATTTATTTAGTTGAACAATTATAACTTTATTAACAAAAAAATTATTATATTGAAACTGGAATATCATTGATCAAATTATACAAAGTCTTCACCTCAGCTCTTAAATTATTCCTCTTCCTCACCAACAATGCATAATCTCTATTCCTCTGTTGATTCACCTGATTAATCTCCAAGATCTGCAAATCTCTATCATTTACTTCTTTCATTAACCGAACTACTTCTCTCACTATAAAGACTGCATTTCCTCTCAACTCCACTACTTGTGCCTTCAATTTTCTAACTTCACGCTACAATCTATACAATTATTATTATTACTATTTATTATTATTATTATTATTATTTTATTATTATTACCTCTGAATTTCATTTTGAAGCACACCAATTGCTTCATACAAGGCAGCCTCACTATTTCTTCATTAACGTCTAGTTGTTTGATATCTTTGTGGCATTTTCTTTATTTTACTTTTATTATTATTCTATTATTATTATTTTTATTACTAGTATTATTATTATTGTTATTATAAATATATATTATCTTTTGACACTTACATTATTTTATCTTCTTTTCTTTTTTTTGTTTTAATTTTTTTTTTGCGAACACTATTATCATATGATTTATATCTTTATTTATACTAGTGTATAACCCGTGCCTATGGCACGTAGGTTGTGTGAAATGTATAGGCTTCCCGAGTTATATAATAATTTAAATATTTAACTCGCTTATTAGTATTTGATATAGCAACGATATACACTATAATTTAATTATTCAGAATGGTATATACAGTATGTTGTGCCTCAGATTAATGTTTGCATTAGATGTCGGTTTGCCTGAGTATAATTGCTACCCTAATAGCAACTAAGTTTAATAAATTTTTGTGATAGTAAGGTTTTATATTACACTTGAATTTCTACAATAAGCAAAGATTGATAAAATGCATATATATTGTTGATCAACATCTTATATATGATACGCGAGCCAATCAAACTACTTGTTTATCTCCTATGTTTTATCACACTATAGCTCCTTAATATTTTATAGATTACTCCTTATTACACAAACCTTAATTTTTGCCCAAATTTGGTAATTTGAACATTTACAAACAGTATAATCAAAAAATTTTATAATTACTGATTGTAGTAGAGTGGTAATGATTTGCAACTATTGCTAGTGGCCATAAGTTCATATCCACTGATGGACTGCAAACTCTGCTACGAGTCTATAATTACAGCATCTGCACTATAATATTTTTTTTATATTTTTTTATAACTTTATAAAAACAACTAAGATTTAAATTATTTATTAATTTTTCATTATTATTATTCACTAAAAATTATTTATTCGCTATAATTTTACTTATTACATCTTCTCGATATAATTTTATTCAAGACTACTTTCGTTTATTCATTATTTTTTACTATTTGTTACAATTTTATAATTTTTTCGATTTAACTTTTGATACACCTTTTCGATATAATTTTATTTATTACGATTTTTGTTTATTCATTATAATTCTATTTTTATTTTGACTTTATTTTCAGTATAATATTATTATTCATTAAAATCATTATTTATTATAATTTATCATTTATTACGATTTTATAATTTTTACAATATTTCAATATAATTTTATAACTTTTCAATATACTTTTATTATAGTTTTATTATTTTTACAATTTTTTTTATAACGATTTATTTCAAATACGATTT